GGATGCATCCGAAGAAGTGGGCTGTAGTCCACGAAAGCTTATGCTCTAATAAATTTGTTAGTCTCTAAGGTGCCACAAGTACTCCTGTTCTTTTCACCTAATTTGTGTCTCCCCCAACCATGCATCAGTTTTGTTTTTTTAAATAAACATCACCAGTTCCATCCCAACAACGTTGATAGCAACCCTGTATTTATATAAATCAAGGAGCAAGACAGTAAACATCTGACAATGGGGAATGCTTTCATTCATGCTTGATTTTACATCCATGAGTAGTCCCACTAAAGGTAAGCGTCTGTGTAATTATTTTCTGGATCTGAGCCTAATTTCTTTCAGTATTTTACTGATAGTAACTGTGTTCTCTCCCTAAATGCCCAGTGCTCTATAGAAAGGATAAAGTTTTGAAAATTCATTTGTTTCAGCTGTCCGAAAATTAGATACAAACTATAATAAGAACAACATTCAGTATTATTTAAAAAAAAAAAACACCTTGAGAGGTGTGATTTAAGTCCCGAGAGAGATTTTTATAAAAACTGTGACAGAAAGAGAAAAGTCACTGGGGGCGGACTATTTTGTGCCAATTACTGCTCTCCTCATCTAATGCTACTCAACACAAGCTGCTCCCAGCTTCATAGCCATCGAGCCTCTTCACCCCCACCTCTTCCAGCCACCCCTCTTCTCCACACCCATCTGCTCTCCCTAGCCCCCCTGAAACTCCCCAGCCATCTGCCCTCTCCAGCCCCACTTCTACCAGCCACCCCTCCTCTCCATCCACACCCATTTGCCAGCCACATAGCAACTTCCAAGCCACCTACCCTCTCCAGTTCCGCTACCACCCCACCTCTCCCCAGCCATCTGCCCTCCCCAGCCCCACTTCCCCTCCTTTCCCCAGCCATCTGCCCTTCCCAGCCCCACTTCCCCTCCTTTCCCCAGCCATCTACCCTCCCCAGCCCCACTTCCCCTCCTTTCCCCAGCCATCTACCCTCCCTAGCCCCACTGCAACTTCCCAGCCATCTGCCCTCTCCGGCCACCCCTCCTCTCCATCCACACCCATCTGCCAGCCCCATTGCAACTTCCCAGCCATCTGCCCTCTCCTGCCCCACGTCCTCTCCTCTCCCCAGCCATCTGCCCTCTTCAGCCCCGGCTGCCCTCTACCTCACCTCCAAAACTACCCACTGTCCCCAACTCCCCCAGAGGTTCGCCCCAGCTCCCCGCTCCAGCGGCGGGTGCCTGGGGCTCTTGGGAGCGGCAGCCCCGGAGCCCGCGGGGAGACGCCGCGCCCTGCCCCGAGAGGCCGCCTGGGCTGTGGCGCAGGAGGGCTCGGCGTGGGAGCAGCGCCTGCGCGCCTGTCCCGCCTGCGCGCCTGTCCCGCCTGCTCTCGCTCTGGCCCAGCGCTGGGACCGGCCGCGGCAGCCCGGCGGGAAGGAGGGCGGGCTTGAAGGGGCGGGAGGCGCACGCTGTTTCCCTTTCTCTTTCGCTGGGCAGCGCGGCTGGGGCTGCCGGCCAGAGGCCGACGGGCGCCGCAGGTACTGCTGGGGGGGGGGCTGGGCGGACACGGGGCAGGAGGCGCCGCAGGTGCATGGGGGGAGGGACAGGAGTTTTCCAAGAGGGAGGGAGCGCCACACCACACCACACCACAGCCCTGAGGCTGGGCCGTGGTGCCCCGGCCTGCCCAGCGCTCGGGGAGACCCCCCCCCTTCCCCTCAGGCCGGGGGACGGGACCAGAGCGGGGAGAGCCGCCCTCCGCCGGGACCCACGGTGAGGCCTGTTTACGGGCTGTGCCTCTACAGGAGGAGGAGTTCGTCCTGTGTGTGCTTCAGTGGGACGTTCCCAGGCTCCTCCAGGGTTTACTGAAAATCTCCCAGGGTCCCGGCAGCCTGAGCGCAGCCCCTGCACCTGCCCCCCACCTCCTCCCCCAGCCCTGAGTGTCACTTTGCCTTGGTCACTTTGCTAGCCTCGTAGTATGCTCGGGGGGTGGGGGCAGGGACACTGGCTTAATTCTTGTCAGCAAAGCACCTAGTACAGAGTCTGTGCTGTGGATTGCCCCATGCCAAGGACTGTGACACTTGTCTGCTGGGACATCGTCATCATTATTATGCTTCTCCTTTCACATGCCTTGCAGGTATGAAAACACCCAGCCCAGAAAAGGAGCAGGAGTTATGAATGATGTCTCCGTGAGAGGTCTGGAATGTCCATCAAATGCCTGGAGAGGTGCAGTTGCACAGAGCAGCTCCTGTGAACCACATCACCTCCAGCTGTCAAACTCACCCCTCTGGCCTAAAGCGCTCAGCCAGTATCGCCTGTCCCACGAATGGCTACCCAGAGGAAGCACTTGGTGAAAGATTTCAATCCTCATATCACCTGTTACATCTGTAAAGGATATCTTATCAAGCCAACCACAGTAACTGAATGCCTCCATACCTGTAAGTAGTACTTTGCAAGGTATCCATCCTTCACAAGTAATGCTTCCTCCAGATATCACCACTCATTTTTAAAAAAATGTATAGCATGAAAGATTATAAAGTGTTTCAGGATGTTCAGCTTGCTCAGCTTGGATATACACTATTATCATTGAAAAATCTCAGTGTGGAGTACTTTGGGCCTTAGAGTTAATTGGGGAAGAGAGAAGTCAAATATTTCAAAGGGATTTGTTATGGTTCTGGCAGTATACTATACTTAAAATTACAGTATAGTGTATCCAATGTACATTTCTAATAACATGAGAACTGTTGAACTGAATTATGGGGAGGGAAGACTCTGAACTAAGCCAAGCTCTGCCAGTTGGTGAGAAATGTTCTGTCTGCACTGAAAATGAGTGGCTGAGACATCTGCACAAGACCCCCCCCCCACCTTTGAGTTTCTGCACATGGAACTGACTACAGCTTTACAATGTATAGCCACCCATGTGGGAGCCACTCCCTTTGTGGAAAGTTGAGTTGCTACAACAGACTGGTGACTATCCAAGAACTACTTTTCCTGAAAATTCTTTCATTTGCAGAAGAGCACTCTGGGAGATATAGCACAGGAGGAATCTGTTGCAGTGAGGCATGTCCTGCTGATCTGTGTGCCCAAAATACCTATGTTCTTCTGATAATGGAAGGCTTCCAAAACTTCTGGGGCTGTGGATTGTTTTCACTTCCAGTTCTTTAACCCCAATCAGCCTTCAGAGTTCTTCAAGCCTAAATCATACTATTCTAGTCATTTAGGCTGTAATGGATCACACAGGGTGCTTCCCTAACATAAATGCTATTCTCCCGGGCTACTAATGGTGTTAGTGCTGTGACTTTTCAGGGACTCGACCTATCATTTAGCTAATAAAGCCAGACCCAGATGATGAAGACATTGATGAATGGCATCTCCTCAGCCTGGATTCTCTCTTCGCTTCTCTCCCTTTAGACCAGTGTTGTATTAGCTTTTCTTGGTAGAGAAGTTGTAGATGCGGCTGCTCTGCCACTTGTAATATTTAGGTATCTGGACAATGGTCTTAGTGCAATGTCTGTCATAAGTAACAGCTGGGAATTTTAAACCATCCTGTGCCTTCTGAATGATAGAGACAGGAAGAGCTCTCTGGGATATCTTACACACAGAGTATAGTCCTTGCAGATCAGGCTCAAAGAGTATCATGCTCCTCATGTGAGCATGTAATGTCTACTCAGTGAAGTTCAGGAAGGAGGGAATACTAGCTTTACCGTGATTTAAGGATGCCAGTCCCCACAGAAAAATTACCTGGGCCAGAATTTTCAAAACTGTTGTTTGTTGCATATTACATAATAATAACATATCTATCTAGCAATCTGTGTCTTTGACATAAATTACAAAAACAAATCTCCCTGCTGAAACTACCAGCGTCTCCTAGCAGGACTGTACCCACATCAGAATTCCTTCAGAACTTCCCAACCCTCCACAAACAAATCTCAGTCCCTTTTCCCTTCCCTCCTCCAAAGCCTAAGTAAATGTGTGACTTGCAGTGTGTCCTCAAGGTCAGTAAACCCATCCAGTTTTGGAACAAGGTGAGTTCCTCAAGGAGGATACCCTACCACCAGGACCCCTCCATTTGTAAATAGAGGGAACTCCAGTTTGAGTCTCTCTGCTCCTTGTAATTGTGATAGTAAGCATGTACTTAAATAGGCAGATAGGCACTTAATGGAGCGTGTAAGTGGAAGGTAAGTGCCTAAGCAATTTTCAGAAGCGTGATAAAGCGCGTGCAAGTCTGCAGTAGATTTTGGTGAATAGTTGGTCCTTTCATGGAATTCTACATTGTGTGTAAGGGAGTGGCTGATTAACGGTCAACTTTATTTATGCCCTTGAACAAGTGAAGTGTTTTTTAATTATAATTTTAAAATCTCTAACAAGGACATTGTTCGAAAAATTAGGTTATTTTTAAAGCTGGTATATAAAGAGGTAAAAGTTTAGTTTAATAAAGTAGGTGATCTACAGAGAAGCTTTTCTTTGTATCACCTGTCTCGTTACTTAGCTGTGGGTAAGGGAGAGATGAGTCAGGGCTGGAGATCCCAGGATACTAGAAACACAAGGGGGTGGGGTGGGGGTGAGGTAATATCTTTTATTGGACCAGCTTCTGTTGTGGAAAGAGACAAACTTTCAAGCTTATGCAGAGCTGAAGAAGAGCTCTCTGTAAGTTCAAAAGTTTGCCTCTTTTTCCAACAGAAGTTAATCCAATAAAAGATATTACCTCACCCACCTTGTCTCTGTAAATACAGTATCAATAATATGTGTTCCTTCAGTGTTGATGTGGGTGCAGCAGCACTGACACATGTATACATAACTGTTTGGCTCAGTGCAAGGGTTTTAAAAGTGGAAAGTGGACCATCAGTATTAACAATTATCCTATATAAAGGGAAATTAGTGCACTGTATGACATGATTTGTATGTTAGTGAATTAAAGGTATGTCACACTGGTGCTTTTAAGCTGTGGTAAGTGAGTCGTGAAACTTGTATAATGGTTTGCCCTACGTATCATGGTGCAGCCAAAAATCAAGTGTATCTGACAATTCTCTCGCTGCACTGACATACGTGGCATATGTCTCAAAATTCTGAAACCCATCTCACATTTTGTTTATTTTTTTCTCCAGTGTGTTGGCTGTCGCTTTGTGTTGTACTGTAAAACAAGACAGTTAAAATTGTACCATATTTGTGTATCTCATACTGTAAGTGTGAAGGTTTTTATAAGGTGTTAAATAAATATAGTTATCACTTAAATTCCTGCTCAGAGATTTTTCCCCCTATTCTAGAAATGTCAAAGTGATAGACCCAGGAAAATGTGCAGAGTTTTCCATATTATGAATAATAGAATAAGCTCATGCCTCTGACAGATGAAAATATTGGTTGATTGGACCTACTCCTATAGAGGAATCACAAGTCCGTACAAAGTTTTTGAGTGTTAGAATTCACATTTTGAGTTCTGATTTACTGACAGATATGTAAAAGTCATATATAGCTTCTGGTAAACAACTCCCTAATGACAGCACAGTTGTACATAATAAAGAGCACAAGTTATTCTAGTTAACATCAATATTTATTTCAAATCAGTTTTCCTTTTTCTAATAATGATGAAGTGTTTTGGGCTGGTAACATTCAATTTTGGTCAAACTATGCCCTTTTTTTTTTTTTCTTCAACTGGGGGTAGTGGAGGGGGAGTTCTTATAGTACCAACACAAGACATCTTGACATCTGTCCTTTTTGGAGGATGAGAAGATTTTTGCTTATTCTGAGTTGCATGCAGAGGTAATTATCAGTCACATTTTTAAAACTAAATTATGAAGATCTTAATTGCAGATCTGTAAGAAGTCATTGCAACTACTTATCTGCTTAAAGTGAAACATGGCTTTAAGTGCTTTGCTGGATCAGGGCCTTAATGTTCTTCTGTAGATTTTATAGCTCTTTTATATTTGAAGTTTAGAGTATTGATGACTTATTGCATAGTGTTTTCTAAGGTAATAGTTTGTAAATATATTCATATGACACTAAAATGACAGTAGTGAAGTATTCATATTTAAGAGTTCTAGGTATAAAAAAAAAGTTCATATAAGAGCAAACAAGACCAGAATATCAAGTTTGTTCTTCTGTTCTTGTTAAGTCCTTTGAATAATTTTTGCTCTGTAAGATAGTTTTGTGTTCATGTATTTTCATACAAATGAAAATCAAGTTCAATATTTAAACAGTCAGAAGTATTAAAATATTTTATTGTTGATTGCTATAATGAGATCTGTGTAGTGTCTCTGTGGTTACTGTTTGTTGCTATTCCATATTAATACTTTATACCATGCAATCCCAGATAATGAAAGTTCATTTGTGTCCTGAGGGTTGTACTGTGCCTCCTTGATGGCATCTCCTTTCTCGTCTGCACCCTGTGTGTCACAAGCCTGGAGTGCAGCAGGTGTGCCCCTGTTGCTGGATTTGTCGGCAAGAGATCCTCCTCATTTCATTAGGATTATGGGGGACCCGCAGTGCAGCCCGGCTGCTAGATCCATCCATCCTTGGGAAGCCAGCCATCAGTCTCTATAATTAGGAGAGCCAGCCAGTGGGCCTTAAAGTCTATGCCCCAGGCTCAGAGAGACATGAATGCAGACTTTAGAACCTCTTTGGCTGGCTTTCCAGATTATTAAAATGTTTGTTTTCTGAAGATTTCAGGAGTCCCTCAAAGATCCCCATATTATTAGGGTTCGCTGTTTTTGTTTCAGAAGTGGTCTTAGTTCTTTGGAGAATTGTTGGAAGAAATTACAAAATAGTTTTCCGTCCATTTATTAAAGTATTTGCAGTTCACATTTCAATTCAGGTGAAAAATAATAAACAGAAGAAAGTTACTTTGCATCCAGAACATTTTAACAAATTAATAATAGCACACCTATTACTTCTTGCCAAATTATATTCAATTTTTTGTCTTGATACTAAAATCTGTAATTAATCATATTTGGAAGCAACCACAATCTGATACTTTTTGATTAAAAACTATAGTAGTGTTTGGGTTAATATAAATTTGTAGGCTCTTATTTTGATGTTGTTGATTCCTAATTCAATATCTACGCTTCTCTGATGATTTTGATTTTAAGATTCAAGTACTGAATGTTCACCAGTGCTTCTACCATCACTGTTGTTAAAGGCTATATATGTGGAGGGAAAAATAGCTCATTTCAACCCATGGAACAATTTTTTATAATTTTCTTTTTACCCTTTTAGAAAATATTAGATGTCAAGTTTTTCAGTCACCAGTATTGCAGGGATTTTTGCAGGAATTCTGTATCATAACTGATTGCAAACTTACCTTCATTTCAGATCCTCCAAAGTCATGACTAGCTCCTGCTTTGCTGAGACTCCCCTGCATGCACTTTCTCTGAATCTCTGTGCTATGTTGTGAGGAATATAAAACAGTAAAAAAAATTGCATACTTATAAACAATACTCTCCTAACCTGTATTCGCTCAATGTTGTAATATCTCAGCAGGTTACAGCTAGTCATAATTTTTGGGAACAAGAAACAGATAAGTTAATGGTGTATTGTAATCACTTGTGTTAAAGAATACCCCTCTTATCCCTGCTACCAGAAGCATTCAGCATAAGTCTGTTTTTTTTTAATTGCAAGCCATATTGCAAGCAATAATATTTTCTTGATCTAAAAGTTACACTGCAATAATGTATACTTTTATCTAATTATGGCAATTTTTTCTTTGTTACAGTTTGTAAGACATGTATTGTTCAGCACTTTGAAGACAGCAATGACTGCCCCAGGTGTGGCAATCAGGTGCATGAGACCAATCCATTAGAAATGTTAAGGTAAGACAACATTAAACAAAATTTGACTAAATATAACGGTATTTTTGATAATTTCATTGTTCTAAGGAAATGCCATAATTTCTTCTTTTTTATTTTTAATTTATACAAATGCTGACTCCTGTGTGTATGCTCTAAGCACCCTTTATATTACTTGAATATAAAACTAAATGAATACCCAGCATAACCCACCAGCAGCAAACTGGTCAACTAGAAAGTTTCAATTCCCCCTCCTTTAAATTACTCCCTGTCTTCAAATGCTGGAAAGAAAGGTGACCATTGTAGTTTGACTAACCTTCATTTAGAATAAATTCACTTAAAAGGAGAAAGCACTTTTAAAAATATTTCTGACATCTACGCTTATTTTGCAACTGGGAAAGGAGCAGTGGCACAAACTATGTATTCCCTAGAAAGCTCTTCCAAAACTGCCAGTTCCCCTTCTAGACCTCTTTTTTTAATAGGTTTTTTTAAAATTTGTCGTTACTATATTTTGATTGTCTGTCGTTTTGCCCATTGCTCTGTTGCCTAATGTTTATATTTAAATTTATTGTTGTTTCTAGTATGGCCTTTCAATGTATTGTTCATTTATAATTCAAACATTCCAGAATGCACTTGTACCATTTCAAACCCCATCTCTGATAAGTCCCTTTTCCAGATAACTGCCTCACCAGGAATTGCATACAATAAGTTTACATATGTAGAGGATTGCTTGATCTAGGCTTGTGAATTGATTGGCATTAACAAGCATCCTTAAAGTTTAGCATTAAATATCCATAATATACTTTGATTTATTCAAGACATCAGGCAGAAGCTAGACAGAAATCCCCTCTTTAGCAGACAAGAGAACAGTAGACATAGTGTTTTCCATCCCTAAAGGAACCCAGTGTGATGTTATATGAAATAGAAACAACAGAATTGGCGAATTACTATGTCGCATTCCCAATGGCATGTTTCTTGGTTTCTCTCTGTCATATTTAAAAGTTGCCTATTACCTTGATTTCAACATAAGATTTTCTCAGAAGAATTCAAAGTTTCAAGAAAAAAAATTGTTTAACAGAGTTTTGAATTGTCATGATGTGAAAATATATTTCATACAGTTAAAGGCATAAACCTCCAATACCTAAATTCTCTGTCTTATCTGCCTTGTTGAGCAGCTTTTCCTTGATCCAATTTAGACTAACAAGGCTACCTCTAGACAATGTTCACCCTTAAGTACATAACTAGTTTCCCACAGTGCGAAGTACTTACTGTGGAGAGAAACAAATTTATATGAAATATGGAATCCCATAGGCTGTTTGAAAGGCCAAAATAGTTCACCACTATAATCCTCATGGAGAGAATATGTGATATCTATAACTTTTTTAAAAACACATTTTATTTTTTGAACCAGCCCTAGCTCTGTCCCCCATTTCCTGTGTCTTTCCTTCCTTTTCTGTCTCTGATAATTTCTGCAGTTGCCAGTACATTGGTGACACTAACAGGAGCTACATACACTCCAGAACAGTTTCTCCAATGTCCCTCTATGTCAGCACAGGTAGTTGGGTGGACTATAAGTTCTCCTACCAGCAGGTGGAGTTGGAGAAAAGCAAAATTGGAGAAAGTCTAGAGAAGAGCAACAAAAATGATTAAAGGTCTAGAAAACATGGAAAGATTGAAAACAATGGATTTGTTTAGTCTAGAGAAGAGAAGACTGAGTGAGGGGGGAACATAACAGTGGTCAAGTACATAAAATGTTGTTATACAGAGGGTGATATCCTTATCCACTGAGGACTGGGCAATAAGAAATGTGCTTAAATTGTAACAAGGGAGATTTAGTTTAGACATTAGGAAAAATGTCCTAACTGTAAAGGTAGTTAAGCACTGGAACAATTTGCCTGGAGAGGTTGTGGAATCTCCGTCATTGGAGGTTTTAAGAATTGGTTAGACAAACACTTGTCAGGGAATGTCTAGATAATACTTAGTCCTGTCTGAGTGCAGGGAACTGGACTTGATGACATATCCAGGTCTAATCTACATAATTCTATGAGTAAAAGGGAACTTTTAGGATGAAAATTAGTACCCATTTGCTCAATCATTAAAATGTATTCATCACGGAAGGAGCCTTGGCCTTGCCAGAAAGAAAATAAGAACTGCCTATACAATGTTTATTGTGTGGTGGTTCTCCTAAGGATGGCTGTTCCAACACTTTTTACCCATGTTCTGCAAAGGTAGTTACAGCTCCAACCTTAGATGGCTCTGTAGATTTGGGTGACCAACTCTTCTCCCTGGAGACTTCTTAGTAGGCCAAATGATAATTGGGAGAAATGCGGGTTCTCCCATATATTGTCCTTATATGAAATATATCAGCCTTCATGGCCATGGCCTCTGTCCTAGTCTCATGACATCTCTCAGTTCCAGCCTTTGACCCAAAGGAGAAAGAAGCCTCAGTCTCAGAGTTTTTCTCAGCAGCGGATTAGTATCCCTCTGTGGATACAATTGTTATGGAGAAAGCTATGAAAACTAATAATTCTGGAGGGAAGACATTCCTACGGGGGAGAGTTGGACAGTTTTTAGAAAAGAAAATATAGTTATGCCAATTAAACAGGTGAGCTGCATTCTTAATCTACAGGAGAACTCCTTGGAGTCAAAGAAGAGAGCTTCAGTTATTGCTAGCCAATGGACTGTTTATCCACAACATTTTTGACGCAGGATGGACTATAATGGAAAACTCCCCACTGTTCCATATGCTCTTAGACAACTTTTAAGTGGCTCAAAGCATATATCTAATTTCAGTTCTTGTAGCATCTAAAGGTATATGTACATTGCAACTGGGAGCAAGCCTCTCAGCATGGGTAGATAGACTTGGATTTGTGGGGCTCGAGCTTGCATGCTAACAATAGCATTGTGGACATTGCAGCTTAGGCAGTAGCTTGGGCTCTGAAGCCCACCCAACCCCCTGGGTCTAAGCTCAGGTGGCTAGCCCAAGGCTCTGCCAGAGCTGCAATGTCCACAGTGCTATTTTTATTGTGTTAGCTCAAGTCAAGCTAGCACGAGTCTGTCTACCCAATCTGGGAAGCTCGTTCCCAGCTGCAGTATAGACACACTCTAAAGTAGAATCCAGCATCTAGAAGTGCATAGAAATATCACTTTCCTAGTTGACTGGATGGGAGGGTCCAAAGATTTCAGTGGGCTGGAAATCAGAGAGAGAGCACCTAAGAGAGTTAATGATTTTTGCATAGTTTCTGTGCAGATTGTGATCTGTTTGACATACAAAATCCTGCCATTAGTAATGTGGTATAGATCTGGTAAAATGATGTAGCAGAAAGAAAACACCAGTACTGTATAGTCTGCAAGGGTTTTTCCTCAAGGGATGATAGATTTAGATATAAATATAAATATATTATAGATATTGATATTAGGGCTGTCAAACGATTACAAAAATTAATTGCGATTAATCTCTCAATAAAAAAATTAATCGCAATTAATCACGCTTTTAAACAATAATAGAATACCATTTATTTAAATATTTTTGGATGTTTTTCTACATTTTCAAATATATCTATTTCAGTTACAACACAGAATACAAAGTGTACAGTGCTCACTTTATAATTATTTTTGATTACAAATATTTGCACTGTAAAAAACAAAAGAAATAGTATTTTTCAATTCACCTAATACAAGTACTGTAGTTCATTCTCTTTATCATGAAAGTTGAACTTACAAATGTAGAATTATGTATAAAAAAACCTGCATTCAAAAATAAAACAATGTAAAACTTTAGAGTCTACAAGTCCACTCGGTCCTACTTCAGCCAATCTCTCAGACAAACAAGTTTGGTTACATTTGCAGGAGGTACTGCTGCCCACCTCTTGTTTACAATGTCACCTGAAAGTGAGCTCAGGCATTTGCATGGCACTGTTGTAACCAGCGTCACAAGATATTTACGTGTCAGATGCACTAAAGATTCATATGTCCTTTCATGCTTCAACCACCATTCCAGAGGGAATGCGTCGGGTTCTGCTCGACAGGTTCTGCTCGACAATGATCCAAAGCAGTGGAGACCGATGCATGTTCATTTTCATCACCTGAGTCAGATGCCACCAGCAGAAAGATGGATTTGCTTTTTTGGTGGTTGAGGGTTCTGTAATTTCCGCATCAAACTGTTGCTCTTTGAAGACTTCTGAAAGCGTGCGCCACACCTCGTCCCTCTCAGATTTTGGAAGGCACTTCAGATTCTTAAACCTTGGGTCGAGTGCGGTAGCTAATTTTAGAAATCTCACATTGGTACCTTCTTTGCATTTTGTCAAATCTGCAATGACAGTGTTCGTAAATCAAACATGTGCTGGGTCATCATCCAAGACTGCTGAAACATGAAATATATGACAAATGCAGGTAAAACAGAACAGGAGACATACAGTTCTCCCCCAAGGAGTTCAGTCACAAATTTAATTAACGCACATCACCAGCATGGAAGCATGTCCTCCGGAATGGTGGCTGAAGCATGAAGAGGCATACGAATGTTTAGCATATCTGGCACGTAAATACCTTGCAACGGCTACAAAAGTGCCATGCGAATGCCTGTTCTCACTTTCAGGTGACGTTGTAAATAAGAAGCAGGCAGCAGGATCTCCATCTATATTCAAATCGGATCCTGGAGGTCTGTAGCATATCCCAAGCACAATCCCAGTGTAGCCTCTGTTACCTTTCTTCCACAAAATGATTTTGACCCAAACAGATTCCGCTTTATCCATTCTTCCACTGTACAATAAAATACCTTTTTCAAATTTCACAGAAAAAGAAACTAAGGTACACAACCTTATTCTCTGACTAAGACATGCCAAGTTTCAGCCAAAGAGGAGAGAGGGTATCTTACAGTTGGGTTCACTACCTTTTCCCATGAGGGTGAAAAGTTAAGGAAGAGGAGAGAGGTGATCTTATAGTTGGGGAATGGCTAAAGGCCATTTCTACACATATGTATCTTCTTGTAGTAAATATATGAGAATTCCAGATTCTCTTTGAGTGCA